TTTTAAGATTTTATTTATTTGCGAGAGAGAGAATGAGAGAGAGAGAGCACATGAGAGGGAGGAGGGTCAGAGGGACCAGCAGACTCCCCACTGAGCAGGGAGCCCGATGCGGGACTTGATCCCGGGACTCCAGGATCATGACCTGAGCCGAAGGCAGTCGCTTAACCAACTGAGCCACCCAGGCGCCCGGCATGCTGCTTTTCAATGAACGTGTTCTCCAAAGTTTTACTTTTTCATGTTTCAATGTCAACTCCTTAAGCTTCAGGGGTCCTCAAAACACCTACCTGGTTATTGGTAAAGACCCTGAAAATATGAAGTTCTGCATCTGGAGCAAACCCTTGGCATTCCCGCATGCTGGCTATCACACCTGCCACAAAGGTGCCATGGCCCAGCCCTGCTGACCACAAGGAGAAAAGTCACAGAACAGAGCTGATAATGTGCGCCTAGATGCAACACTTCAAACCACCAATTCAAACAGCCTCGTTCTCTGAGCCCCGGATGAAGAAGCTGCACTGCCCCTGCACAGTCTCCCACCCAGAGCCCACGCCCTGGCTGCCCCGATTCTGGGCCTCGCACCCCCGCCCCCTCTCAAACTGGGAGTTCAGTGCTCCTCCACCAGGCAGCCCTCTCTCCTCAAATGCTACTTCCTGACATCCTGAGACAGACAAGCTTCTGCCCAAAGGCACAGTGGACTCGTCTCGGTAACAGCCCTACATGACTGTGTCATCATGAGCATCCAGAAAACTGCACTCTGAACCCATAAAACTGGGGACAGGAGCGAGGTTCAGAGACCGGGTCACACCACAACATCGCCACCCACCGTCGTCCAGTGTCCGCTCATTGGTCCAGTTGGTTCTCTCCTTCACATTTTTGAAGTGGGGATGCTTCTCGCTCAACCCAGTGTCAAAAACAGCAACCCTTACGTTAGCACCTTATTCCAAAAAAACAAGCAAACACAATCATGTTTGGAGAAATCACCTTTCTGGATTTTGTCTATAAAACACATTCCTCCTTGGGACCTGTCACGGAGGCCCAGAGCCTGCCCAACGTGCACGCGTTAGGTCAGGAGCCCCAGGGGCCCTGGCCGAGCCAAGAAGAGGAAAAGACTGGGAGACTGGGACAGATGCCATCATGTGCTAAATAAGACCTGACGCTATCAGGGAAATCTCTTGGGACACCCCTCACCTGTCACCAGTGCTCAGTCCTCCACACGGGAGTGATCTACCCCCTTCTGGTAACTTTCCCCACATCTCCCTCCCCTCATCTCTGTAGAGAGGTGCAATGGATCAAAGGGCACCAATAAAGAACACACCCGCGGGAGAGGGGAGACCATTCCCACTCCTTCCCTCCGACGCTGCTCATTAATAACCTCTGCACACGGGCTGCCAGCAACATGCGGGGATAAGGGTACAGTAAGGAAAACCAGTACGCTCTACACCTTGCTATAATAAGGAGCCTATTTCAGATATAAGCCAAAAGCTATGTGCACCAATGTCAAGACTGATATTGCCAGGTCAAGAAATTCTAGAAAACTTGTAGAAAAATCCAAGACACTTGTATTATTTAACAGCTAAAAGATGTCACGAAGGTGGGGTCTTTCTGGTGTGAGAGTTGTGTTCACGTGTCAATACTATGTTAAATAATCAGTTACACTGACCTAACTAACAGAACATACTGCTTACATTTAAATAATGGACACAATCTCAAAAACCACTTGGTTTTGGGGGGGGGGGGAAGAAAATGCTTTTCTGCTTAGAGAATTTGCTTTGTGAAGAGTTCTCGCCCTGAAAAGATAAAACCACGAGGTGATAATCATTTTAATGAAACATCAGCCCACCAGGCATGAAGAGTTCAAGTGTCTCGGACCTTCTGCAGGGCGCGGGCTAGGGAAATCAAGGGAGAGGTATGGGTCTCCCAGGCTAGTGGATGCGGGCGAGGACCCCGAGACCAGCTGAGATGGACAGGGGTAGGGTGGGGGGGGCTAGAGAAACTGGCTTCCGTTTGGGGTGGGGTACAAACCTTCACAGCAGTTATGACAGCGATGTTCTGCCATGATGCATCAGTCAGGAAAAGTACCTCATTGGTTGTTCTATTTCCTAGGATATGGTCATGAATACCATCCCCTGCTCTGAAACTAATGATCGACAGGTGCACACTCTGTAACTCAGCCATTCTGCACAGAGCTCCACACTCAAGGGAAAAACTCATTTTCACATTCTCTCTTCAAAGTAACCATCTCTGCACTTGATCTCATTCCCTGTGTCACCTACGTGTCAAGAGGAGAGAAATGCTCCATCTACCCCCTAACCTCAGAAATGATACAGAAAGATAGAAAAGGTGCAGAGCATGAAACGACCTCAAAAGGCACAGAAACAGATGCCCAGCACAGCGGAAGTCAAAGGCGGGGGGGTGGGGGTGGGGGTGGGGAGGGGTGGCTGCCGGACGTGTCCAGCTCCACGCGAGCAGAAGCGCAGGTGCCTGAGGCCTGTGGCAGCAGCACTAGGCACCCGAGACAGAGGGGCGCCCCGGCCACCAGGCCCCACGTGGCTCCTGGGCAAACAGCACGCACCTGTGTAACCCATCTGCCAGAGCACGTCCGCCTGCAGGGTCTGGGCGACCTGGCGTGGGATGGCTCTCAGCAGCCGTCTACTCGAATGTCTCCCGGTAGCGTGCCAGAAGCCGGAGCCCAGGGAGAGGCTGGCTCTTCGCAGGGGACGGGATGACTGCCACTTCTGGCTCCACCGGGTGTCGTTACAGGGCGCTACAGGGTCCGCTAGAGCCAAGGAGAGACAGATGAGAAGCGGAGCGGCACGGGGACAACCCGACCCGTCAGGGAGAGCACCCACTCTGGAAAGAGCGCCAACTACCCCTGAAACCCTGGGTGACGGAAGGGGGGCGGTTCTCGTCCCCGCCAGAGGCCTTTCTCCAGGCAGTTACACCCACAGGACATCACTTAGCTATCATCGTTATTCCCAAAGAGTCCTCTACTTGGCATTTCCTAACTGACGGAAGGCAGAGAAGGACTGGCAAAATAACCACTTGTAAAGAAAGAAAGTCAATCGTGCCTAAAGCTGAAGAGAGGAGAAATGCCTGATTTTTCACCAGCAACTTGTTCTCACTGAACCAAAAGGGTTAAACACAACGACGACAACAGAACCACAAGGAAGCACGTGGCCACCGAGTGATGGCGACGTGTCACAGCACTGGGTGCTGGGACAGAAAAGGGCATGTTAACCCACCACACCTGTCTCTGGTCCAACAGCAGCAGGACCTTCTTCCAACTGTACAGTGCTCACTACTCTCAACATGCTTTCCAAAAGCAGAAGAACTAGAAAGGAGTTGGGGAGGGGGCGGGTCTGAAGGCGACGAACTGTGTCTTCTCTTGACCTTGCGGGGGGACCGCGGGCTGCGCTCGCATCAACACCTGCCAAGCTGCACTGACAACCATGAATTCCGTTATCTGTAAGTACCTTACTTTGTTAAAAATGGAAGGAAAAAAGCAAAAGAAACACCACAAGAGTAGTCCTTACCTTCCAGGACGACGCTATCACGAAGAAAAACTACATCTCCAATCAGTTTGGAGAAGAACACACCTATGCTCCTACTACTCAAATTCTGTCTCTAAAGCAAAAGACTATCGTTTATTCCCGTCTTACCAAGCTTCCCCATGAAAAAGCACAGGGACCTGGGAAAACAGTCATGTCAATTCCATTAAGTAATTATTTGCACAGACCAACTGAAATTATTCTGCGCTGAACCCGCCATGTTGACTCTGTTCTTTAAGTCAATAGCGGGGGACAATACTGGACGTGCTGACGGAAGAGTGGTATTGACAACACGCGAGGGTCTGCTCCGTCGGCCTGAAGCGGACCAGACTACACCGAAGTAATGAGCTCGGCTCTCTAAGAGCAATTCAGAAAAACTAGAGAGTACTGGAAGGAAAGCAGTTAAAACGGTGAGAGGGCTTGAACCCATGTCGTGTGAGGGACAGCTGAAGGACCTGGAGAGAAGAATCTGTCAAGGGGGACACCGTGGATATCTTGACAATATCTTTAAACACTGTCTTGAGGCAAACAGGTTGGCTCCGTCTTCCAGCCTGTGGACAGAGCCAGGGATGGGAGCCACGGTGGGACAGGCTGCAGCCAAAATAGAGCAGAGCCTTCTCACAACACAGCCAGAGAAACAAGCAATATTTAACGTCTATTTACATCCTAAAAACTCTGCTAAGCTCTTACACTTGCACTGTCTTATATCACCTTTGTGAGAACCCTAGGAGGTAGGTAGCGTTATCTCCATTTTCCGGACAGGAAAAGATGACGCTTACAGGAAGGCGGCTCAGCACACGAGGTGGCAGATGGCGACAAGCCGGACCGGGCCTGTCAGCAGGGCGCCACGTCCTCAGGGCGCGTCAGGGACACGTCTGACAACCATGGTGCAGAGTGTAGAGAAAGGAACCCAACCCCGAGATTCCAGGACTGCTGTGCTAAAATTAGGCACTTCCATGTTTCTTAAAATGTCCTGGGGCTCTTCACGATAAAAAAGTAAAATAAAAAGCACAATGCTGAGCCATTTATCTAGCTAAGTGTACAAGGTCTGGTTTGGTTTGATCTTCCTGGACCGTTTTTAAAGAGAAAATGCATCACAGAACATCCTGCCTGACACAGAGAGCTCTGAGGAAGTCAGGCACCTGACCTCTGCGGAGCCTCCAAGGGCGGGCTTGTCACACTATGCAAATTAGCTCGGCCTCCCCGGGCGCCCTCTCCGAACCTCAGAGGCTCTCAGGCCTACTAGCTGACAAAGGGAGAAAAGGAAAACTTTATTGCTCTTTCCTTCCAGGGAAAAAAAATGACAGTAAATAACAGAACTGGCAGTTTGTTACCCTAGTTTATCACAAATGGGAAAAAACCTTTTCTCTGGTAATAAGCATGCTTCGGAAAATGTTAAGTAATAAATATGCAATTTATTATTTAAGGATAAACTCTACCCTGACAAGCCCAAGTTGTAAAGAAGTGGGAAAGAATAAGCCCTCAGGCTGGAAGAATAATCAAATGCCTTCCATCCTCACACCTGCACAGCCTGTGACTGAAACAGGCCCAGGGGAGGCAGGACTGTGCATGGTCAGGAGGCTCTCAGAAAAACAAAACGAAACCCACAGAAAGGATGTTTTACAAGATGCCTTAAAAATAAAAACACACGCTGACAGAAGCACAGTGCAGCCAGAGGAAACTCGAAGACCCCGACCTCTCCGAGGAGCCTGGGTGAAAACCACTTGCAGCAGAGACGAACATCACCATCGTCCCCTACTGCAAACTTGCAGATTTTTCCCACCAGAATAGCACGAAGCCTGTTGTTAGTTTTTTAAACTCCTGGCAAGAAAACGTTCACAACTGATGAAACTAGGTGAAGGGACTTGTGTGTTGACTAAACCCCTTCTCGGCAGCCTGTGTGAACACACACATTCTCTCTCTGAACCCCAGCGAAGCAGATGAAGCAGACTGACAAGCAGAGCCCGTGATCACAGTACTCACACTCTGCGTACTTGAGCGAACGGAAGACTTTCCGCTGGGGTGTCACCCGTTTGATGTTGGGATGATCTTCAAGTGTCAGCAGCCCCGCTTTCTGTTTTTCTTTTATCTGAATCACCTCAAAATCACTAGGGTAGTCACTGGATGGGTTGTTTCGAGGAATGATTCTCCAATTGTCTATTTCACTGCTCTTCAGGGCACTCGAAATAAAAGAATTTCTAGCTTTGGCTGTAAAGTATCCATTGAAAGCCACGATGTATTCTGAAATCAATGACCACAAATAAAAATAAGAATTTATGTCCCTGTATTGTAACATAAGGATGTATCCACTCTCAAATTTCCCTGGTAAAAGAAAACTTACAGATCCTAAAACCTACAGTAGAAGCAGCAGTAAACCAAGACTGGTTTAAAGGCCCTAAACAGCCATTTCCAGAGCGCTGAGTTAAAATGATCTGTAGGAGTCCCCTGATCACAGAATACATCACTTAAAATCAGACACGTGTGCTATTTTTAAAAAAGCAGAGATTAACAGAAGTTTGAATATATGGCAAAGAAATGCACGTAACTTTTTCAAATAGGAAAAAGGGATTCAGAAGGAAAGGCTCCGTTTTATTTTACTGAGCATTCCGCACCTCCCAACTCCCCACCCTCTGTGGCTGCAACGGTACCTGTCCCAGAGAATCAGGTTTTAGGGAAGTAATTCAGAATGCCAACGTCCTTGCTTCACAGAAGCTACCTATCTCGGGAAAACCAACTTTAGCAGAGTGAACATCTAAGCGCCGTGCACTCACCTCATATGAAATGTATCATAGAAAAGAGGGCAAAGTCTTTTTTGGCAAAAGCTAATATTTAAAATTAAGTTTTTAAAAAATGGGGAGGGGGGGCTAAAATAGTATCATTACCATATTCCACAACCGTTGAAGAGAATTCCACCTTCAACGTCAGGTGGGAACAGCCAGGGCACGGGGCCTTTTCGAAAGACTTCTTCTCCAATCTGTCACCCAGATGTTTCTTCCCACAGAGCAAAACCACTAGCAGAAGCAGCCAGATGTTGACAAGCTTCATGGTCCTAAGTGAGTATGGTCATAAAATCGCATAAATTCAAATCGCACTTTTTTTCTTTCTTGATTATAAGTTAATTTTTGTTTCGGCCAAAAGCTGAAACATTACTGATCAGCCACTTTACAGTCTTGTCCAACGTAAATAAAAGTTAAATTTCATGGCCTTCTGTGGTTTGGCCTGGAAAGAGGCTTTCATTTCTTTCTTCGTTTCTTCTCCATCTTGGGCCTCAGGCTCCTGTCACTCTGGGCCAGACAACTGAGTCCTCCACTCCATCTGCAGCACAGAACCACAGTCCGGCAAGGCGGGCGGTCCCTCTGGGAGTTGTGAGCCGTCTACAAAACAAAGCGAGCCAGGCGAGAGTCAGTCCTGCGGGAGTCAGTCCTGCGGGAGTCAGTCCTTCGGGAGTCAGTCCTACGGGAGTCAGTCCTACGGGAGTCAGTCCTTCAGGAGTCAGTCCTATGTGTACCGCAAGCCAGAGAGCCACACGGACGCCCCGTGAGAAGATGAGACAGACATGCGGCTCAGGCACGAAACACCTGTCTTCTCTTTCTTTAATTACTCCTCACTTCTCTCCAGCAGAGAGAATAAGAGATAAGACGAAATAAGAAAGGTTAAAACAAATGAGAAAAACGGAGCAAACTGAGCATAACAATGTCAGGAATACTGAGCCCCCTAGCAGCCAGAGAGGGGGGATCACAGTCCTGCACATCTGCCCCCCTGCTCTGCTTCGACCTCAGATTCTCGATTTCTCATCATGTGCAACCCTTCATCTCCAGGGCTCTTCCCCAACAGCATTTGATTTATTTTTTAAGTAGGCTCCACACCCAGTGTGGAGCCCAATGCGGGGCTTGAACTCATGACCCTGAGATCAAGACCTGAGCTGAGACCAAGAGTTGGATGCTTAACCAACTGAGCCACCCAGGCGCCCTGCAACAGTAGTTTAATTCCTCATAAATTTTACCAACTCTTCAGGCAAAAGCTTGGTATATACATCCTCACTTTCTACCGTAAAATAATACCTAAGCACAAACTAATTTCCATGCAAGTCATATCCTTGCCACTTTCTTTTAGAGAAACTATGCTTTAAAATTATTCAAACTATTTTGAATATTTTCTGCCAATTCTCTGAAGAGAACATAGAAGAGTTTACACAGTCATCAAATTTATTTTACATGAAGCCTGACCTTAAAGAAATCTAACCTGCTAAATAAGTTATAACACCAGATTACCTCTTTACTGGAAGTAATATAAGAGAACAGTTTGTCAGATACACTGCTGCCAAAGAAAAGTGTTATCTGAGTGTTAAATTACACACAGGCACAGATATCTTTCAAGTATGTGAATGGCAGAAAAATGATCATTCTTCACAATGAAAAACAAAGCGGCAGTAAAACAAACAAACAAAACAACGATGCTGGTTGTGGCATATCCAGAAAAATCGGTTGCATTGATCCCACCAGAAACATAAATAATCCAGCAAGGGGAACAGAAATCAATAGAACAGGACAGGCCTTACACTGCTAACTTGTTTCTAAAAAGAAAACACTTAGGACCAGGAGCTGATCCCCTTTAAAGAGAGGTACGGAATTATTAAAACCCCTTCCTCTGGCAGCAACTGGTGCTTTAGAGTAACAAGGACTTTGTGGTTTCTGGAACTATTCATATGTGCCTCTATTCACAGGAAAACACATAAAATATAAAAAAGTTTGAAAGGTTAATATTTAGGACTTCACTGCTGTAATAACACATGATCCTGAAAAGCAGGCCTTCTCCGGCACTAGGGACTAAGGCTGGTTGAATGGAGCTCATCAGATGGAAATGAAATTTTAGAAGTTATTTCCTATCAACACAAAGAACAACAATGAAAATGCCAACCACAAGAACAAAGAAATTAAAACCAAAGATCGGAACAGAAAGACCAAAGAAAGGCAACAGGGGACACCAAAAAAGCCACTCCAACATATTTCATGGCAATACACTTGGGAGTGAGCCCCAATTTTTTCTGCTTATACCTGATATTTGCAGTAATGGGGTATCACAGAATATAATCACATGAAGCATATACCTCACTTAATTATAGTATGAGTGGTCAAAGAAGATAAAGCTCACCACTGGTGAGAAGAGTTCTCCTATTAAATGAACTTACAGTGAAAAAGATTTAAACAGGTCTCTCAATTAAGGCAAATTAAAAAAAAAAAGGCAATCTCTTAAGCTCTTCTGCCTCAAGCTAAAGAATCTATGACATATTTGGGCTACATGTAACAAATATTACTGAGTGATACTGGTGAGCCAATCTTAGACCTAACTGTGTCAGATCGACTTTAATTAAACCTGTTCTTAATCTGCACACAGGCACGGACAGCGAGCTCATACTGCAACCCGTGTGGAAGAGATGGCTGGCGTTCTACAACTGATCCCCAGAGACGGACTTCGCAAGACAGAGAAATGGGAAGAAAAGGTTAGAGGGGTTTTAAACTTTAAAAATGCCTAAGATAATCAGCTCTCTCCCGAAGAGAAAATGTTTTAGGTTTTGGAAAAAAGGACACCGCAATATCCCTAAGACATTCTACCTTAATTTATGCAATTAAATCATACAATTTTATATCGTGCTTACCAAGATTAAGGTGCGATTCAGCCAAGAGGCCGACTATAAAAGCAAACAGCTAAACAAAGCGCAGGAAGACACTGAAGAAGAGGCGCACACGCAGGGCCGGGATGCCGCACTGAGAGTTCTTCTGGGTGAAACGGGAGGCTTCTGCCAAGGAGGAGGAGGGGGAGGAGGGGGAGGAGGAGGAGGGCGCTCTGGCAGAGCCTGAGCCAGCAGAGCCAAAGTGCGGAAATACGGGGGGAGAAGGGGAGCAGCCTGAACACAGCTACAGCACAGCCCAGAACAACACAGAACGTGCAGAGGATCAGCAAGTCCTCTGCACGAGGAGGGAGGCCATGGGGTGCCAACCTGAAGGAGGAAAGATGGTGGGAAGCAGGCACCTGGTGCAGGTGCGACCTCTGCGCAGGGCCCTCGGGAAGCAATGGGAGTGAGGTGCGCAAAGACGATCCGGAGCCTGGTGGGGCTGCTGAGCAGCTCTGCTCCCAGGTCCGACTCCTTTACGGCGCCAGTCACAGAGCCAAGCACCAAGAGACGGCAGGGACACAGCAGCCAACAAAACCCAAGCCAAACCTCCGAGCTCACGGTGTGAGTGCGCGCGCGTGCGTGTGTGTGTGTGTGTGTGTGTGTGTGTGTGTACAGAGGTGCCCCTTGAGCCTGGGAGGGGACCTCTGAGGAAGGACCTGCGGAAGCAGGAAGCTGGCCAGGCCAGCTGGGCACAGTACCGGAGGCACCCGGAAGGGTGAGCCCAAAAGCCCGAGGCAAGGAACACGCCTGGTTTATGTAAGGAAAGCCAAGGGGCCATGTGGCTGGAGCAGGGGGAGGGAGGGGGAAAGCAGAAGGGATGGGAGAAGTGGGGGAGGGCCTTGTAGGTCAGAGAAAGGACCTCAGCTTTCACTCCCAATGGGAGGCAAAGCAGGATCTGAGCAGAGGAGCGACCCCAGCTGGTCTGCACGAGAACTGGCTCGCTCTGGCTTCTGTGCAGAAGGGGGCACAGGCAGACGCAGGTGGCCAACTGGACAGCTCCCAGGACGACTGGGTCGGGCCAGGCCGGGGTAGGAGGGGCGGTGAAGGGGGGCACGCGACGGCCGTGAGACAATCCGCGGACAGCCAGATTTGGGGGGTGCACACCTGAGGAGCCAGGGACAACACTGAGGCCTTTTGTCCAAACACAGATGGCGTCTGCCCCTGACAGAGACGGAGAAGGTGCAAGAAAAGCAGGTGCTGAGCTCTGACCACGTGAAAATTAGGGTAAGCATTAGCGCTGGGAAGGCATGGATCCGGGCAGAAAGGAATAGGGAGATAAGAAAAACCCCAAAATCTGTGAGAAAGAACTTCCATAACGAATAGCGGTCTGTCGAAAGGGCCACACACAAAAAGGCGAACAGCAGCCTGCCCCAAACTCCAAAACCACCAGTGGCTGGAAGACACCCTCAAGTAGAAAAGTCCCGTGGGGATAACGGGAAGGTTGGAAATAATGGGACAAGGAGACACCTCTCTGTTTGGTTTAGTTGTGGATGACCTGCTTACATTCTAGGTTCTAAGAAGACACTCTTTACGAAGACCCATGGCTCCTAAAAAACTCTGACAACGGATACTGAAGTTCCTATGGTTTCCCAATCCCAGAATAAGAAGGCTTCAAAATATAAATTTGCTTTGAAGAAAACAGAAATGCCACCAGGGGCACAGAGGCTGGTGAAGGATGCCACTGGCACCGAGGTCACAGGACAGGCCACTGCGCTGCTGGCCTGTTTTAAAGACAGCCAGTCCCCACGACTTCTCTACTGGGACTTCAAAGGCACAGACCGCACCTCCCTCACCTAAACATCTACTCACCTGTGTCGACGATGGGTTACCCGCCCCCCCCCGCCCACCGGCTCTCACTACGCAAGGCAAACCTGCTCAGCACTGTCCCTGAGACAGCCTCACCATCGAGGGGCAAGCATGGAAGCAGCAACGCATACAGAGCGTGTAAATACAGACGCAGACATACACACATAGGAAAAGAAACATTTTAAACAAGAGCTCCGTCTTCCCTTTTCTTCCTCTCTTTCTGCGTAATTTAGCCGAGGGCAAGAAGGCGCTGGTGGAGAGCCACGGTGGCCTGGTGTGGGGCGATGGCGTCTTGAGAGGGTGAGGAAGGTGTGGAGCAGAGGCATCTGGTGAGGGTGTCGGAGCCTGAGTGGAGTGATGACCATGAAAGCGGGAAACTGAGTTGATCAAATAAATATTTACAGATAATGGGAAGCAGGTTTCTATTGTCAGAGAAGAAAGGCACAGGTAAGAATAAGGAAAAAAACCTGAAAGATCCATGCAGGATCAGACTGAAGTTGGAAGTACTGGTGTGAACTCCAGGTTCTCCATATATGGGACAGACAGACATAAAAACAAACATGCAAGTGTGTATGTGGTACACACGCACACGTGCATTTCCTAGCTCTGTCTACTGCAAGGACACGGGAGTAGTGACAGCTCAACAAGAGGGAGCCCTCTAGTACCCAGAACTGGTTTCCTTTTTTCTTTTCTTTTTTAAGATTATTTATTTGAGAGAGGGCGAGAGAACATGCTCGCACGAGCAGAAGAGAGGGGGAGAGTAGGAGAGACACTCAAGCAGACACTGTGCTGAACACGGAGCCCAATGTGGGGCTCCATCCCACAACCCCGAGATCAGACCTGAGCCAAAACTAAGAGTCAAATGCTTTAACTGACGACACCACCCAGGCGCCC